GGACAAACTGAAACCAAAGTACGTGCCCTTAGCGGGAACCGAACCCGGGTCTCTCCGGACCGCAGGCCGATGCTCTAACCGCTGAGCCAAACTGGCCAGGGCTTATTTTTTAAATATATATATTTTAAATTTATTTGTATTGATTTTTTAGAAAGAGAGAAAGGGCGAGATAGAAACATTGATGTGAGAGAGAAACATCAATCGGCTACCTCCTGCACTCCCCTCACTAGGGATTGAGCCTGCAACTCAGGCATGTGCCCTGACTGGGAATTGAACCAGCAACCTCTCAGTCCATGGGACAACGCTTAATCCATTAAGGCACACTGGCCAGACCGGAGGAAAGTGTCACATGTTTTTTTTTTCTTTATTGATTTTTAGAGAGAGAGAAAGAGAGTGATGGAAACATTGATGAGAGAGAACATTGCTTGGCCACCTCCTGCATGCCCTGCACTGGTGATTTGGCCCACAACCTGGACATATGCCCTGACCAGGAACTGAACCACCGACCTCCTGGTGCATGGGTCTAAGCTTAACCAGTGAGTCACACGAGCTGGGCTGGAAGACAGTTTTTTGTTTTGTTTTGTTTTTTATCCTCACCTGAGGAAATTTTTGCATTTATATTTACAGTGATACCTCGGTTCTCAAACATAATTCGTTCCAGGAGGACGGTCGAGAACCAAATTGTTCGAGAACCGAAGCAATGAAACCCAATAGGAAATAATGGAAACTGGATTAATTCGTTCCAAGCCCCAGAAAATGCCTATTTACTGGCCTAATTTGTATATAATATGTAGAAAAACATAAGTCTCAACAAGAAATAAAAGTGTACAGTATGTCTAAGGGTTAAATTCAGTGTAAAGCGTGACTCTCTCCACAAAGCGTGACTCTCTCTGCACTCACACTGATGGCGCAAGCAAGGCGCGCTGGGCCGAATGAACGCCATTCGGCTCAACTCGGCTCATCTCGGAAGTTCGAGTTCCAAATATTTGTTCGGATTCCAAGACAAAAGTTTCTCGAATCTCCTGGTCGAATACCGATTTGGTCGAATACCAAGGCGTTCGAGAACCGAGGTATCACTGTATTTATTTATTTATTTTTTTGTTATCCTCACCTGAGGACACTTTCTCCATTTTTGTTGTTGTTGTTGTTCAGATAGAGTGGGAGGGACAGAGAGGGAGAGAGAGAGAGAAACATCGATGTGAAAGGGACACATTGCGTGGCTGCCACCAACATGACCCAATCAGGGCCGGGGACAAACCGCAACCGAGGTTCCTGCCCTTAGCGGGAACCGAACCCGGGCCCCTCCGGACCGCAGGCCAACGCTCTAATCGCTGAGCCCAACCGGCCAGGGCTGCATTTTTATTTTAGATAGAGCGGAAAGGAGAAAGGAAGAAAGAGAGAGAGAGAAACATTGATGTGAGAGAGACATACACATCGACTGGTTGCCACCCGCATGACCCCAACTGGGATGGGGACAAACTGCAACTGCGGTATGTGCCCTTAGAGGGAACCGAACCCTGTACTCTGGTTCGTGGGCCAATGCTCTAACCACTGAGCAAACTGGCCAGGGCAGGAGGACAGTTTTAAATGTGATAAAAATAGGCCTCATTGCCCAGCCGATGTAGGTCAGTGGTTAGAGCCTCGGCCCTGGCACTGAAGGGTCTCAGGTTCAATTTCTAGTTCAATTTCTACCTGGGTTGCAGGTTTGATCCTCGCCTCCGTAGGGGCATGTTCAGGAGAAAACCAATCAGTGTGTCTCTCTCACGTCGATGTTTCTCTCTCTTTCTCTCCCTCCCTCCCTCCTTTCCACTCTCTGAAAATCAATGGAAAAAAACATCCTTGATGAGGATTAAAAAAGAATAGGCCTCACTGACATATCTGATGATATATATATCTGATCATATACTTGAATGAGATGAAAGGGTAAGCCATACATGTGGGGGAAAGTTCTATACAGAGGGAACAGCAAGTACAAAGGCCCTGGGGTGGGTGTTTGTCAGGTGTATTTGGGGGGTAGCAAGAATGCCAATGTGGCTGAAACAGAGGGAGTGAGGGAGATTGGTTGGAAATAAAGTCACAGAGGAAATGGGGTTAACTCATGCAGGGCCTTTCACTCGATGTGAGGTGGGAAGCTATAGGCAGGCTTAAATGTTAACAGGATTCCTTGGCTGTTGTGTGAGTAGACTGATGTGGGGAATTGACACAAGCAGGGAGACCACTTAGGAGGCCGTCACAGTGTCCAGGTGAACAATGTTAGTGACTTGGACCAGGTGGTAGCAGTGGAGGTGGTAAGGAGTAGTCAAGAGTCTACACTCTAGACAGACAGAATGTAGTTGCTAATGGATCGGAAATAGGGTGTGGAAGAAAGAGAGGACTCTGGGATAACTCTAAGTTCTTGGATCTGAGCAATTGGAGGGAAGAAGAGCCATTTGCTGAGATGAGAAAGATTGTGGGTGGGAGAGATTTGGGGCAGAAAGTTAGGGGGTTATTTTGAACATGTTGTGTATGAAGTGCCTATTCAACATCTCAGTGGAGACATATGGTGGCAGTTACCTCTACCGATCTAGCATTCAGGGAAGAGGTTTACGCTGGGAGTGAAAATTTGGGAATTATCCTAGCAGAAATTTAAAGTCACAAAACTAAATGAGAGCAACAGGGGGGTGGGTTTAGACACAGAAGAGGTCCAACGGCTGATTGGTGGGGCATCAAACACTAAGAGAGCAGGGCAACAAGGAAGAACCAGCCAAGAAGAATGCAGAGGAACAGCTAGTGAAACCCGAGGGAGGGGAGAGGAGAGGTGTGAAGGATGAAGAAAGGTTTCAAGGAAGAGGAGGGGTTAGCATCTGTGTCAAATGCTACTAATAGGTAGACTAAGATAAGTAATGAGCCCTGAGCACTGTGGCTCAGTTGATTGAGCATCCCCGGGTGCACCAAAAAGTCAATGGTTTGAGCCCTGGCCGGTTTGGCTCAGCGGTTAGAGCGTCGGCCTGCGGTCCGGAGAGACCCGGGTTCGGTTCCCGCTAAGGGCACGTACTTTGGGTTCAGTTTGTCCCCGGCCCTGGTTGGTCGTGCGGGTGGCAGCCACTCGATGTGTCCCTTCACGTCGATGTTTCTCTCTCTCCCTTCCTCTCTCTCCCTCCTACTCTATCTGTACAAAAAATGGAAAAATGTTCTCGGGTGAGGATAAAAAAAAAAAAAAAAAAGTCAATGGTTTGATTCCCCATCAGGGCACATACTGAGGTTGTGGAACCAATTCCCAGTTGGGGTGCATGTAGGAATGTTTCTGTCTCACATCAATGTTTCTCTCTCCCTCTCTAAAATAAATAAAAACATATTTTAAAATTAAAAAAAAAAAGTTGAGGAATGAAAATGTCCAGGGAGATTGAGCAACAAAAAAACAGTGCTGCTTATCATAAGGAAATGGTCAAAAGTTTACATACAAGAATTCTTATTTTCATAGCCGTGTTTATAATAAAGAAAATGTCCTTGCGCTGGCCAGCTTGGCTCAGTGGTTGGAGCATCAGCCTGCGGACCAGAGGGTTCAGTTCCCACTTAGGGGCATGTACCCCAATAAAAGAAAATGTCCAAGCACAAAGGAATAGCTACATAAATATAAAATATTATGTAGCAATTACAAGACATGAAAAAATTTATTATTTTTTAAATGTTTTTATTGATATTTTAGAGAGAGAAGAAGGGAGAGAGAGAAAGAAACATCGATGTGAGAGAGAAACTTTGACCTCCTGCACACCCCCTATTGGGGATCAAGGCTGCAACCTGGGCATGTGCCCTGACAGGGTATCAAACTGGGAACTCTCAGTGCATGGATGATGCTGAATCCACTGAGCAACACTGACTGGGCTTGAATGAAGAACATTTAACAACATGGAAAATGTTCACAATAAGGCAAAAAAGCAAAATATAAAACTATATATAGTGTAGGATCCCTAGTCTGTTTATTTAAATACTTTTAATTCATAAGGATATTTATTAATGCATTAAAAAACCATGGGAATGCCCTGGCCTGTTTGGCTCAGCGGTAAAGCATCGGCCCACGGACCAATGAGTCATGGGTTCGATACCAGCCAAGGGCATGTACCTTGATTGGGGTTTGTCTCCAACCCTGGTCCGGGTCGTGCGGGAGGCAACCAGTTGATGTGTCGCTCTCATGTCCATGTCTTTCTCTTATCCTTTCTCTCCCTCCCACTGTGCCTGAAGATAAATAGAAAAATATCCTTACGTGAGGATTAAAAAATAAACAAATAAAAACCCTAGGAAGCCCGGCTGGTGTAGCTCAGTGGTTGAGCATTGACCCATGCACCAAGAGGTTGTAGGTTCAATTCCCGGTCAGGGCACATGCCCAGGTTGTGGGCCAAATCCCCAGTGGGAGCATGCAGGAGGCGGCCAGTTGATATTCTCTCTCATCGATGTTTCATTCTCTCCCTCTCCCTTCCTTTCTCTCTAAACAATAAGAAATAAAGTTTTTAAAACAAGCGAACATTTCTTAAAATAAAATTAGCTGATCACTTTTTAAAAAATGTATTTATTGATTTCTGAGCATGATTTGAGAAATTTGTTGTTCCACTTATTTATGCATTCATTGGTTGATTCTTGTATGTACCCTGACCGGTGATCGAACCCACAACCTTGTCGCATCAAGACGATGCTCTGTCCAACTGAATTACCTTGCCAGGTCTTAAATGTTTAGAATTGTCATTAGAGCAATTACTAAAATTTTAGATCACAGAACCCTGTATCTAATGGAAACTATGGATTCTCTCCAGAAAAATGCATTCACACAAGGAATTCATCAACTCCTGAGGTGCAGGTTATAGAATTGTCTTTGAGGCAATGGGTTAGGGGACTAACTCCATAGGAGAAAGGAAATCCCAGCCACAGTTCTCCCCAGACTCAGCGGGTAAGAGATGGACAGGGAGAGGCCCTGCCAAGAGGACTGCTCCCTGCTTCTCCCCACCCCCAACACCATCCTCTTCACTTACAGCATCTTGAGCCACTGACATGATCTGGGATCTGGTTGGCAAGAGCCAAGGCTTCAGAACTGGAAACAAAGTGGCAGAATCGGCTTCTTTCTACCTTCTGAGATGTGATCTCCCCCAGTAGAGCCTGAAAAGCACTTTAGAGGGCTCTGTCTGCAGGCTCTTTGCTTCCACTTTCATTTCAGCTAAATGCCTGACCTTTGATGCTCACATGCCGGAAATGTCTTTTCCCCACCCCTGGGAGGAGCCTTCCTGGTCTCTAAGTAGAATTCCCCCAGCTAAACTATGAGGCTTCCCGGGTTAGGTTCCCACTAGGGGCATGTACCACCAAAAAAACAAAAACAAAAACAACTATGAGGCCTCAGGGGAAGCTAATTTACTAAATGCAAACTCAATTCTGGCCCCAATCAACCATTCCCAGACTTTCAAATTAAAAAAATTTTTTTTTTAATCCTCACTCGAGGACATTTTTTTCATTTTTTGTTTATATAGAGCAGGAGGGAGAGAGAGGAAAAGAGAGAGAGAGAAACATTGACGTGAAAGGGACACATCAAATGGCTGCCACCCGCACGACCCAACCAGGGCCAGGGAGAAACTGCATGCGCCCAAGCCGACACTCTAACCGCTGAGCCAAACCAGCCAGGGCCAATCCCAGCAGAAGGCCTTTGGTAAAATTTTGTCTGCGTTGTTGAATGGATATTTCCCTAGAGCCCAGAATAATATCAGGCACATGCAGACATTGATAAAACAACTGAATGACAAATGCAACCAGGACAAAGCCCCTCCATCAAATTCACAAAGCTGTTACAATAGCATTTGTTGAGAGCTGCTATGTGCCCAATACTGGTTCTGCTTTGAATTAATTAAACTCAGTTTTCAAAATCCTTTTAGTTCTACTTTCCCAATTTTAGAGATGAGATTCTAAACTTCTGAAACACAGAGTATATAAATTGCCCAATGTCACATTACAGGAAGTGAGCATGTATCCAAATATCCAAACCTGGTTGGACAGTATTTGAACTTTGGATTTGAGGCAGAGAACTTGAATTTTTAGTCAAAGCAGGGTCTATTTATTATCATTTTTTAAAAATAATTAAAAAAAAATTTTTTTTGTGTAATCCTCACCTGAGGACATTTTTCCATTTTTTTTTGTTCAGATAGAGTGGAAGGGAAAGAGAGGAAGAGAGAGAGAGAAACATCAACGTGAAAGGAACACATCGAGTGGCTGCCACCCACACAACCCAACCAGGGCCGGGGACAAACTGCAACCGAAGTACGTGCCCTTAGCGGGAACCGAACCCGGGTCTCTCTGGACCATAGGCCGACGCTCTAACCGCTGAGCCAAACCGGCCAGGGCTTAAAAATAATTTTATTGCTTTTTTGAGAGGGAGAGATAGAAACAATGATGTGAGATATATCAATTGGCTGCTTCCTGCATGATCCCCACTGAAGACTGAACCCACAACCCAGGCATGTGCCCTGACTGGGACCTCTCAGTCCATGGGGCAACGCTCACTCCACTGAGCCACATTTGCTGGGCCACAGCAGGGTTTAAATTTATTTTCATTTGTGACTCTCAGTAGACAAGCTAACAGTGTCTCAAGAGAGGCCCAATACTTAAAGATGAGAGGAGCCAAATGAAAGTACATAACACTGTGTGGTGTTTCCTAGTATTTTCACCTAGTCCGGGGTTTTTACACCAAGAACAGCTTACTGAGCCCCTTTCTCACAGCCCTGCACCCCAGGTGGAAGGGTGCCAAGTGCCTCAGCTTGGCAAATAGCCTCTGGATCCTAGTTTATTTTTAATCTTCACCTGAGGATATTTTTCCATTGCTTTTTTTTTTGACTGTCCTAAATTGTTTATTAGGTAAGAATTTTACAAACATTACTTATATTGGGCCTTCTCCAAGCTGCACGGTGAGAACTACCAATAGTTTGGTGGAACTCGTGGCCCTTTCCAAGTCCACAGCTCTGTGGCCTGCAGATGTCAGCCCTCGCATCTCCCTGTGCTTGTGGACTGGTTTGGTAATCCATTTGGGTGTCAGGATTCCTTCTGATAACTTTATGGAATGGATCAATGAGGATAATCTCAAAGAATTTGTATGTGGAATCTTCAACCCACTAAGAATTCAAGACTCTCAAAGCCCCAGTGGCGTCCAACTTGCTCCTCGGCAACAGACTGAAGACTTCGGGCAAACTTCAGTTGGTTACCACCATGATGGACAGGCTTACCATAGGTCACACCCTTAGGAACAGGGCGTTTGCAGCCACCACAGTGCACACGAATCCGATATATGATATAACCTTGCTTGGCCCTGTATCCCAGCCTGCGCGCTCTATTGGGCCAGGTGGGGCGGCGGGGGGGGTGGGGCTGTGGAGCACAGAGCTGGTGGTACCACCAGCAGTGCACACGGAGAAGGAAGCACATTACATTGGACTGCTTCTTCCTCCAAAGCTCCTGCATGTACTTGTAAGCGCCCATCTTGGCTTACCTAATGGCTGCAGCCACACGGAAAGGAAGAACCTTTTTTTTTTTAACCTCACTCCAGGAGATTTTTCCATTTTTTGTTCATATAGTGGTAGGGAGAGAAACATCGACGTGAAAGGGACACATTGAGTGGTCACCACCCGCATGACCCAACCAGGGCCGGGGACAAACCGTTACCGAGGTACATGCCCTTAGCAGGAACCGAACCTGGGTCTCTGGACCATAGGCTGATGCTCTAACCGCTGAGCAAAACTGGCAAGGGCAAACCTTTCTCCCACAATCCTCCATTGCGCTTTAGGTAGAATAGAAAGGAGAAACATTGATGTGAGAGACACATCGATTGGTTGCCACCTGCAATGACCCCCACCAGGGCCAGGGATCAAACCTCCAACCCAGGAATGGACCCTTCTATCCATGGGGCCAATGAGCAAACTGCTGAGCCAAACCAGCCAGAGCTGGATCCTAGTTTCCTGTAGACTTAGAACCAACTCAGCTGAAGAGCCTATTTCACCTGTCAAACAGGGTCACAAGTATCCCAAGCTCCTTGAATCACACCCTTTCTTCCTGGTCTCACTAGGAATGGCTACTCTGGGCCTGTTTCCATCCAGTGTGGTCCTCCTCATCAGAGGAGCACCGGCATCATCAGACAACCTGCTAGAAATTCTCAACTGCCCTGGCCAGTTTGGCTCACCGGTTAGAGCGTCTGCCTGCGGTACGGAGAGACCCGGGTTCGGTTCCCGCTAAGGGCACGTACTTTGGTTGCAGTTTGTCCCCGGCCCTGGTTGGTCGTGTGGGTGGCAGCCACTCGATGTGTCCCTTCACGTCGATGTTTCTCTCTCTCTCTCCCTCCCACTCTATCTGTACAAAAAAAATGGAAAAATATCCTCGGGTGAGGATTAAAAAAAAAAAGAAATTCTCATCAACTAAATCTAAATCACAGGGTGGGACGTTGCTTTGACAAACTACCAGTGCTAAGGTTTGAGAACCTCAGGTCAGTTCTGTTTGAAGCAGCCAGTGCACACTCACTCAGAGGGGCCTTTGGTTGTCACGATTGGTGGGTAGTTCAGGTTCTCTAGGTGCATAATGAGCTGAAGTCAGGGACGTCAAAAAAAAATCTGCACCTATAAATGTCAGCAGTAACCCTTTTGGGAAGCAGTTCAATAGATCTCACGTTACCCATTGATGCAGCTAGATCATTAAAGGATCATTGAGCCAAGGACTAGTCTAACTTTCACAAAGGCAGATTTATCTTTTATATTTTTCCACAGCCCCATATCCACCAATCTTTCATCATATGACTGCCCTCCTTTCCCAGATTAATAATACATGCAACAGGCACTGGCCAGCTTGGCTCAGCGGTCAGAGCATTGGCCCAAAGACCAATGAGTCGCAGGTTCCATTCTGGTCAAGGGCACATCTCTCGGCTGCAGTTCGTCCGCAGCCCTGGTTGAGGTCGTGCGGGAGGCAACCAGTTGATGTGTCTCTCCCGCATTGATGTTTCTTTCTCTCTCCCTCCCTCCCACTCTTATCTAAACAAAAATGGAAAAATATCCTCGACTGAGGATTAAAAAATAATAATAATAGTAGTAGTAATACATGCAACAGGCAGACACAAGGATCTTTTTTGGACTTTTAATGATCGAAATAAAAAAGATCTAAAAGCGCAGCTTCTGGAAGAACCATTTGTTCTTGCCGGTCTTGTACCTAGAAAGGGAAAAAAGACACCAATGAGAAGAGGAACAGAGAGATAAAATTTCCTTCATGGGAATTAGTTAACACCACATAACTCAACATCCACCACCAAAGCCTAACTCACCTCTCTTCGAACTTGACCTTGGCCTCCCGTCTGGCCTTGCGTTTCAGAGCAGGGTCTCTGAAGACGTCCTTGTTGACGACAGTTTTGTCCAAGGGGATATCCACAGAGTACCTGGGGACAACGGAGGGGAGGCAGGATCAGCCCATATGCTGCCCGGGTCTTCACATACTCAAGTCCTCCTGGGACACTGTGGTGCTAGGATATGGCTCCACAGGAGCAATCACCAAAAGCTGCCCCAAGTCCTGGATGATAATGTTTGGACATCTCCAATGGTAACAAACTCATTTACATAGATTTAAGCTATTGGATAACTTCATATTTCATTCTCAGTGTTTCCCACACTCATTTTCTAGCTAAGAACCATCGCTGTATTAGAACTTTACTTTGATCCCAGTGGGTGGCTAGCTTTCTATTTAGAGCCACTGTATTTAGTATTGTTCAAGTTCTGCCTATGCAGGGTGAACCATTATGGTAATGCAAAAGCCGGGTGGCTAGCTGCCTCAATCTCATGGAAACAAATAGGAAAAAAAAAAAAAAAAAAATCTTAACATTTAGAACTTCCAGGTAAGAAAGACAAAGAGCAAAATTGGAGGAGATTTTTCAATCTTGCTTGGCCAAGTTAGGGAAATCACAGAAAACAACAGGAACATGGCTCCAAGATGTATGAAAGGGCAAGGCTGGAAACCACGGTCACTTTATATGTGACAAATTGAAAAGGATGTCTTTTCCTTTACCCCAACATTAGAATGGCTGCAAACTTGTCTTCTTATTCAGCAAGGTAGAAAGGGGGAAAATAAATAAGTCTTATACCCATTCTTGAAATGCTCACCTTGAGCCCTGGCCAGTTTGGCTCAGTGGTTGAGCGTCGG